GAGGGAAGAGCTAGCGAGTGTAGTGTGAGAAGAGGGGGAGGGAGTTGAGTCCATTATTTGAATGGACATTAACTTGGCGACTGTATTTCTCTTAAGTATTAATTGTGTGCATGTACCATCATAAAATTAAGATGTTATTTTTACTAGAACTTAGGTATTGTGTCGGAAAAATTAGAGTTTGGGGGTCCGGCCAGTCTCTATTGGAATTAATCCCATATGTTCTGTTGTTCACTTAGCGCGGTTTTCACTTAACACGGTACCCTGTGGGTTCAATTGACCGCGTTAAGCGGGGTACTACTGTATATATATTTTTTTTTTCATTTTTTTGTGCCTATGTTTATATCGATATAAATTATATTGCATCTTGTAGCCAACACTATAACGAAGAGAGTGGTAAGATAATATTCATGTAAGGCTCGAGTTTTTTTAGTTTTATTTATTATTATTATTAAAGGTATTATTATTATTATTATATTTTATATATATATATATATATATATATATATATATATATATATATATATATATATATATATATATATATACAGCTAGACCCCGGCTTCTAGTCGCCCAGAGCTTCGACCACTTGCAGTTGTGACTTTTTTTTTTTTTTTTTCTTTTTTTCTCAAATGATGCACGCATTTCCTATACCGAAACGTATCCAGTTAATGTAGTCTCCATGTATAATTTGAAAATTATGGGGGCCCATGTGCATTCAGCTGATTACATTAAAGGTAAGTGCTCAGTCACACTGTATCCATTCCTCATTATTTATTACTTTCACTGTACTGTATCCATTCCTCATTATTTTTTACTTTTACTGTACAAGTACTGTATTTCATTGTAGATTTTTTTTTTTTATCTATGTCGGACTTACGACCATTCGGACTTACGACCTGGATTTGGGTCCCTAACCCCGTCGTAAGTCAGGGTCTAGCTGTATATATATACAGTATATACATACACGCGGGCGGGTAGGCATTTGACTGCAGCGCATGACTTAAGGTACTAATATATAGTATAGTATACGAGGATAACAAAAATTTTATCAAAATATACCATAATAACAAATTGTATTATAGTATAATACAAAATAAGATCATAAGATCATCTATATAGGTGGATAGGCATTCAACCCCATCACATGATTGTCATATTGTAAAAGAAAGTAACACAATATCTAATAATAAAATGCATTGTAAAATAACGGAAAAAGTATTACTGTATAAAATATATTTATTCTGTGCTGATGTCAAATAAGATCATTCTATACCGTATATCGCGGCCTATAAGGCGTCGGGGTGCATAAGACGCCCCCCCCAAATATCCAATTAAATAGTAGCTTTTGAGTTCTATTTGCTGTATAAGACCAGTACCCCAGATGTGACACCCACTGACTCAGTAGTCCTTTGCCAACCATCCTTGGTTTTTTAAAATAAGGCCAATTCACTTCAAGTAATGTCATCAAATGTTACCTGCTGGTGTAGTGTAAACACTAGTGACGTCACTGAAGCGTCTGCTATTTACCGGTAACTGGAACTAATGTCTGTGTCGAGTAAAATTTTTCCATTTACTTGAAATGGATTTACCGATTTATTTGTTTATTTATTTATTTATAATATACTGTAACATATTAAACACACTGCAAGTATTTTCTTTCATTTATACGCTTGCTTCGCCCGAGACGATCGGTGGTGGGAGTGTTCCCTCGTCTCGGTGGTGTGACTGTGTTCCGACTATTTATACAACAGGTAGTTCAACAGCAACCACGGTATTCTAATTGTGGTGTTTCATTAGGATTTGAGTGAAAAAGGTTACCGGTATGTACTTACTACATACATTTATTACACAAACATATTTATTTATATATATATATATATATATATATATATATATATATATATATATATATATATATATATATATATATATATATATATATATATATATATATATATATAAATATATATATATTTATATATTTATATATATATATATATATATATATATATATATATATATATGTGTGTATATATATATATATATATATATATATATATATATATATATATATATATATATATATATATATATATATATATATATATATATATATATATATATATATATATATATACATACATACATACATACATACATACATACATACATACATGTCTTTTAACCTACATCCTCCTCCCTGTCCTAATCCTCACCTCACCCTCCTTACCCTTCCTCCCATCCCTGCCCCGCATTGCCTGCCCACCGGCCCTGGCCCGATCAACCAATCCCCATATGTTTTGTCCCGTGAGTTATGCTTCGAAATCGGTGGTTAGTGTTACTTAATATTGCGATAATTACAGAGCTTCACTCAGTGTGTTTTTATGCTAGTATGATTTGTAATGTACTCTTTGACGCGTAGTGATAAATAATATTCAATGTAGTGAGCAGAGCTTCACTCCCCGACCCAGCCTAATGAGAATATTGTCGTGACGGAAACTATAGTTGCCAAACATTGACGTAACGTATAAAGTAAATATTTGTTTTTCTTTACGGATACACTTCCAACTAATCCATCATCCCTTTCGGATTGTGTATATATATATATATATATATATATATATATATATATATATATATATATATATATATATATATATATATATATATATATACAACAAAATATATGTACAAAAAATAAATGTTAAATGAATTATTTTATGGTGCATTAGGGTACTGGTCACTTTAGACACAAAGACGGGCTATAAATAGCCCATCTCCCCCTCTTCTTACAGCTGCCAATGGGAAGCGTCTTGGTAATTAAATTTGATGTTTATTTTCATTGTCTAATTTATCATGTATCAAAGTAATATTACTAAAAATTGTGTAGGTAGTAGGCAGCTACCAAACAGGTAGATACTACCGCCTGGGAAGATATTGGAAGCATAATGTGTTGTCTAATGGTAGACCCTGCTGCCATATGGCATCACGAAAATTGTGACCAAGTCCCAGGTTCAGCGCTGACCTGACTTTCTGCCTCATTTACACACAATTGCAGTTTGAATTGTTCCTCTAACTTTGACAACACAACATACATACAGTATATTATTTCTCACTTTTGATCTTTTTTTTACTTTTTGTATTTATTTATGGTTAGTTACTTAAAATAAGGCCAATTCACTTCAAGTAATGGCATCAAATGTTGCCAGCTGGTGTAGTGTAAACACTAGTGACGTCACTTAAGCGTCTGTATTTAACTGTCAGTAGTTTCAAGAATTAATGCAGTCATTTACTGAATATTCCTTGTAAAAAAATAAATTTTATTTATAGGAGAAGTATTATTATCAGTAAATATACCGATATGCATTACTGACCACCTCCACGGCTAAAAATAGCCCAATCTCGCGGTCACTTTCCCTTTCTTGTCTCCTCACTGGCAAATGGGGGGGGCATGGTGAGGGGTGTGTGATGATAGCTGTGTTTATTACAGGGGTATAATTCTCTTTTACGGTATGTTAGACAGGTTTATAATACATTTTTATTATTTTAATATACCGGTAATCTTAATTTGAATCCAGCTTGCCAAACGTAAGTTTCAGTATAAAATAATTACTGGTAGGACTTTGTGAGTGGCTTACGATGTTTCCATCACCACTCTGACACAGTAAACCACAATATTTAAGATGTAAGAATTTTATATTTGTTGCTTAAGACGACCCCCTAACTTTGGGCAGATTTTTTTAATGTTCAAATTTCGTCTTATAAGCCGAGATATACGGTACTCACATCCTTCAGCGAGGTGGAAGACTTCCGGAACTTGTAGATGGACTTTTGGGGAGGAAATGAGTGAATGAGCCCAGGTAAAATGTAAGAGTGAGAATGAATGATTGAGTGATTGTAGGTGGGTGTAGGAGTGTGTGGGGATGTGGATGAGTGTGTGGGAGTGTGGATGAGGGTGTGAGAGTGTGGAGTAGAGAAGGAGAGGGATTCCAATGTAGTGTAGCTGATAAGTGGACTGTGGGAGGTGGAAGGTGCTTGGTATGAGGCTTACATAATGCAGGAGATATTAAGAAGATGCTTGGGATGTGGAAGGTTTTGGTGAAGAAGAGTGAGGGTGGTATGTTGCTGGTGCGTGGGTGGTGGTAGAGGGAGTCTCTGGTGGCGAGGTGAGCGATAACGTGGATGCAACCGACACTTTCTTCGTTGTTATGATGATCATTTTCACTACCAGGCATCTTTATGTTCACTATCCGCTTGATCTTCACTGTCCCGAAACAGGAGTTCTAGAAAATCATCCTCTTTCAGAAACTTTTTTCGAGACATTGTCACTATTGTGAGGTTGTATAGCCTGATACGGTAACTGCTTTTGAAAACTAAACACTTTCCCTGTAAATATGAAAAAAATATTACATTACTCAACCATCACTTCACTTCTCTAACAGTAAAGTAAATTATTTCAGGAAGTAGAGTAAGCACTGTAATCCAAGAGTTGAGGCAGCCCGCATGGAGTTATGGAAATTTAAATGGATGTGGCTCACACTCACGGTCTGACTGCTAAGATAATACGTTACTGTGCATTTATCGTTCCGGTCTTCCCTTCCTATGGGCCTCAAGAGTTGCTAATAACTTTATTTGATAGAACTTACTTGCTACTATGATATATCCAAATTTGACGCAATTCTGTTGAAACCTTAATTTTTGGTGAATTTTTTAAAGTTTGGTGACTCGATTTGCGTCACCATGAAGTTGGTCTTATCATGAATACAGCATCTACCCCACTAATGGGATTACCTTTCTTCCCACCACAAAAATTTTGTAAATTATATTCAAGAGGTGAGCTGGAATAGTAGCTGAAATATATCTTCAAATATGTTGTTTACAGGTGCTGTGAGATCCATTCTGCATCAGTGTTAAGTTAAATTTTTAAGTTTTTCCTGATAAATGACACCTTGTTATAGATTATGTTTTACTTATTGACTAGTTACTTTTCATTCTTGCAGGATATGGTTAATAGTGGTAATTTAGGCAGTTGGCTCCAGAATATTGTTGAACCAAGTTTAGAGCGTTCTGTCATATTCCTGGATACCTGTAAAGCAGCCACTGAAGCTCATGATAATGCCAATGTGGTCAACAGTAGAGAAACACAAGTAGTGGTCACCTTAGTTCAGGCATTCATACAAGTAAGTGGAAGTAATTTCTATTAAAAATTAGTATACAGTATTTACTCTTGTATTAGATTTGAATGAAGTAATAGTGTTGCATTTATATAAGTTTATTAAAATGTATCCTAAGAAGATTTTTAATCATTTACTTATTTTTATATTTTATTATTATTTTTTTACTCTTAATGTGTTAGATATTTTTTTCTTCTGAAGGCTGAATTTTTTTTTCTTCTGAAGGCTGGCTTAAGTGTGGATGCTGTTGGTGTTATAACACCCTTCCGTGCCCAGGTAAAACAGATCCGTGATCATATCTTGAAGGACGTGACCATGGGCCAGAGAGTTGAAGTGAACACTGTGGATCAATATCAGGGAAGAGACAAGGATGTCATAGTGTACAGCTGTGTACGCTCTGGTGTTACTCATTGTGATGTAAGTTATGTGTCTTCACCTGTTTTCTTTTGTTTTTATAAAATTATTGTGTCCTGCATTAGCAGTGGGCTTATTATTGCTAATTTACATTTTATGAAAGATGGATTATCAACAAAAGACTGTGAACCATATTTCTTAAACAAACTGTGACAGATACTACCTTTTGATAGAAGACATCACATTTTTACTGGCTATAAAATGATGGTGATGATTACCTGTTGCCTTACAGTGGAGTCGTGATAATTTGCAGGTTAGGTACCAGGAGACATCGTGAATTATAGTTTAATTGAATTTAATGGAAAAAATTAGTTAGGTTCCAGTAGACGGTTACCAATACTACCCCTAAAAGTCCATCTCCTGCTCAACCCAAATAAAATTTTAAAAAACTATCTAAAAAGCTCCCAACAACCCTGAAAAATAAGGAAATCACAAATAAATTGCATACTCGTGTTATTTAAAGGTGTGTGAAGAAAAGTTCTGTGACATTATAAAGGTGTGGCAATTCCTTCCAGCTGAGGTGGAGTATTCACTTTGCCCACTACACTTCTGCCACTGTCTCCTGTATGCTTGCTCTTATCTGCCAATCGGAGTACATCCCCACATTTTTATTTTTTTTTATCGTTACTTATATAATTTGGTATTTTACTTTTTTCTATACAAGGGGTCCCCGGGTTATGAACGGGTTCCAGTCCTGAGGATGTTCTTAAGTCAGATTTGTACGTAAGTCAGAACACAAGCTACAGTATGTGCATACGGTAATTACAGGACAATGTTTAAAATCCCACTATATCATAGCCTAAGTCTTTATATACATCAAAAATCACTTAATATAGGACAAAAGAAGAAATAAAACGACAAAAATACAGTAAATGAAAGTAAAAAATAACTCATCAGGTAAATAAAATAATGTAAATTTCAAGTTTAACCCCATTCGTATCTACAGGCGTTCTTAAGTCGGACGTTCATAAGTCGGGGACCCCCTGTATGTATAAAAAACATTGAAATACAGTGGTCCCTCGGTTAACAAACAAAATTCGTTCCAGAAGGTCGTTCGTTAACCGAAAATTCTGTTAACCAAAACCATTGTTTCAATGGGATTTTGGGTAATTGCTTCCAGCTCACCGAAAATTACATACAAACTAAAAATAAATACAGTAAAGTACACTTACTTTGAGGTGTGCATGTAGAAGGCTCCTGGTTGATGATGATGATGATGATGATGATGGTGATCGGAATTAGAAGTGGGGGTGGAGGAGAAGGGAGAAGAGAAGGAAGTGGTGGTGGAAGAGAAATCACCCCTTGTTTCATGCCGCCATTTCACCCATAAAATTTTAAGTTCACTAGGTGTAATTCAAGATTATTTTCTTTAAATCAACACTGCACTATATATTGTCAATATGTAAAATAAATTTCAGAATGACCAATAATTGTACTGTAAAAAAGTAAAAATAGTTTATGTTCAAGAGAGTCTCAAGCAAGATGTTACCTCCACTGAGCAGAGACACAAACTGACGCCTGCTGGGTGAGTGAAGTGGCTGTTTGGCGCGCTAAAAACTAGTTTCCTGTACTGTACTTCTATTATGTTCAATAAGTGTTAAAATGACTAAAAATTTTAATATAAAACTTTTAAAATTATTAAATAGTACAACCTTCTTGCTATTTACTCAAATGGGAATGAATTTAAGCCCTAGAACCGATTACTGTATTGGCGGACTAATATTCCAGCTGGTGAGCAAGCGAAAACATGTTGAGAAGAATTCGTAAGGAATTCGTTAACCGAATTTTTTTTTTAACCGAATTGAATATTCTTATGGAAGGTAATTTGTTAACCGAGGCGTTCGTTAACCGAGGGATCACTGTACAGTCAACCCTCACTTTACGCGGTCCCACATTCCGCGTTTCCACGTTTACACGGTGCCCTGCCAGAACCCAGGATGCTCACAATCCGCGGTGGGTGTACCCCTTTACACGGGTGAAGTATAATTTTTTTATTTAGCTCATAAAATTCATACAAATTATCCGGCCAGAATATAATTTACATTGCTGGAATTCTTACAATTTGATGATCATTTTGAATATAAACATCATAGATTTGCATTAGACACAAATTTTAGATATAATGTGTACTCTGAGTAAATATGTTATCTTTTGTGCAAAATATATGACATTTATATTCAAAATATTCCTGGTCTTACAAGGAATCCAGCAATGTCAATTATATTATCCTAACTTTATTCTGATTTATTATTTATTACTAAAAAGGTAAACAGTCTGGTATTCCCACACATTCATCTGGTAGGGAGGGTTGGTGGGAGGTGGGGGGGAGGGAGGGACCGGCGACCGACCACCTGGCACCACGGTGTGAAGAATATTTTTATTTTTTTATTAACTGAAGATATTTGTTTTAGCTCATAAAATTCATACAAATTACCCGGCCAGAATATAATTTACATTGCTGGAATTCTTACAATTTGATGATCATTTTGAATATAAACATCATATATTTTGCATTAGACATACAAATTTTAGATATAATGTTTACTCTGAGTAAATATGTTATCTTTTGTGCAAAATATATGACATTTATATTCAAAATATTCCTGGTTTTACAAGGAATCCAGCAATGTCAATTATATTATCCTAACTTTAATCTGAGGTATTATTTAATACTAAATGTTAAAATCTAGTTTTTTCACCCAACCTTTCTCTTGAAGGGAGGATTGGTGGGGGGTGGGGGGGAGGGTTGGGACGGACCGACCATCTGGCCCAGGTTGGAAGAGGGGGGGAGGCAAGGTGGGGTACTTTGATTGACAGATAGTGTTGTGAAGAATATTTTCTTTTTATTAACTGAAGATATTTGTTTTAGCTCATAAAATTCATACAAATTACCCGGCCAGAATATAATTTACATTGCTGGAATTCTTACAATTTGGTGATCATTTTGAATATAAACATCATAGATTTTGCATTAGACATACAAATTTTAGATGTAATGTTTACTCTGAGTAAATATGTTATCTTTTGTGCAAAATATATGACATTTATATTCAAAATATTCCTGGTCTTACAAGGAATCCAGCAATGTCAATTATATTATCCTAACTTTAGTTTGAGGTATTATTTATTACTATACCTGGTTTTCCCCCCAAAATTTCTCAGAGAGGGAAGAGCCAGTGAGTGTAGTGTGAGAAGAGGGGGAGGGAGTTGAGTCCATTATTTGAATGGACATTAACTTGGCGACTGTATTTCTCTATTTCTCTTAAGTATTAATTGTGTGCATGTACCATCATAAAATTAAGATGTTATTTTTACTAGAACGTAGGTATTGTGTTGGAAAAAGTGGAGTTTGGGGGTCACCTGGTCTCTATTTCATTTAATCCCATATGTTATGTTATTCACTTTACGCGTTTCTCACTTTCCGCGGTACCCTGTGGGTTACATTAACCGCGTAAAGTGAGGGTTGACTGTAGTGTTTTTTTTTTTAAACAGTGGCAACATACACATTCTTTTTCCTGCTGCCTGGAGAGATGGTTCTCGAGCATTCCAGAATCAATTTCGGGTGATTAAGGAGAGACAAACATACAGGTCTAAATTCTTGCAGACATTTTCCTTATTGGATGATAATAATCATCTAAGCCCTTTAGTAGTTAAGAAACATTCAATATCATACATACTCCGACCACATAGTTGGCACGGGCAATCCCCAATGGAAGTTCACGGCGCTTTACAAGTACAATGACAGGCTTTGTGTGGAATATAACAAAGCCTAGGATTGCTTTTGTTGTGCTTGTGGTGCAGTGGTAGCCAGGTTTGGAGCAATTACACCTTTTTAAACCAATTACAATTAAAAATACAGGCCCCCCCCCTAAATTCGTGGGGATAGGTTCTCAAAATGGCCTTGAATCGCCGAATCCATGAATAACATGCTTTTGGGGGGCATTTGCTTATGTACAAAAAGCCTATTTTTTCTTCTAAAAAACAGTTTTTGTGATATTCAGTAAAACCTCGATTAACCGACCCTTGATTGACCGACTTTCGGATTAACCGTCAATCCCGAACTCCTAATTTTTTTTTTCCCCCACGGGGATTAGCCCACCCGGGCACAGGTCACTGACCCACATCAGGGCCTGGGGACGTTATAGCCTGATTGACAACCACTTTATCCAAATTTCCCACCAGCTCTAAAAACTATAAAGTTTGTGAACATTTTTTTTGGGGGGGTTAACAGCCCAGACACAGGTCACTGACCCACATTGAGACTGGGGGTGAAAATGTAATAGTAATAATAGTATAATAATAATAATAATGATAATACAGTAATAATAATAATTATTCATAGTAAATAAAGAATTTTAATAAAAATATTTAAAATAAAATAAGAATGATAACAATAATAATAATAACAATAATACTGTTATAATAAAATAATAATAATAATAAAAAGAAATACAGAATGAAAAAAAAATCCAAAGTGAAACATGACCTAGACCTATGAATAATTATTATTATTTATTATTATTATAAGGCTATTATTATTATTATTATTATTATTATTATTATTATTACCTGTATTATTATTATTATTTATTATTATTATTAGTAGTATTATTAATATTATTATTAATATTATTTATTGTGTGTATACCCAAATGTGGGTCATTGACTTGTGCCGGGTGGGCTGTCCTGTAAAAAAAAAAAAAAAAAACCTAACCATTCTGAAAGCGAAAAATTCAAAACCAAAATGCATCTGGTCCCAGGATTCGGCTAAGGATTTATCAACCTGTAATAATATATAATAATATGTAATAAAATATAAATAAATGCAAAAATGAAAAAAATAGAATGAAACAATATATGTATGTTGTGTTGTCTCAGTAATAAGAAGCAGTTGAGACCCTGCAATTGTGTTGTAAATTAGAAAGATCAGATCAGCAACTTGAAACTTGGTCACAATTTTTGGTGATGACAAATTATTTTGACTTTATTTTATATTCACAGTT